TATATGTATATGTATACATATGTATACATGTATATATATATATAGATATGTATATGTTCATGCCTGCTTTGTGTTTTGTTCGTTCATGTACCTATCGATCTATCGATCGATCGATCTTTGTTCGTTCATGTACCTATCGATCTATCGATCGATCCATCTATCTATCTATCTGTCCATCTATCTGTCTATCTGTCTACATATCGATGTACCCATTCATTTGTTTGTATATCAGTTTACTGATTTGCCTAGTATCCATATACATATGGTATATGTATAGAGCCCCGTTTGAAGCTTGGCCCATGTTAGGTTGTCTACCTCACCCCGTACCCCGAGAAGAACTACCAAAGAGAGAGAAAGACTCGGATGCTGAGATCGGTGCTATCTAAATAGTGGCCGCAAGGCCTAGAACAGAGTTCCTTGAGAGAATATTCTCGCAGTGTAAAGCTCCGAACAGGTAGTTGTCCCCAAGAACAAGATCCCAACTCGCACAATCACCGCGGTTTTTCGACATGTACTATGATAGTACTATAGAGTCCTTGTATAGAATTCATCATGTCAACATCCGCAATCCTGACGTCTCAGCAATCTTACACTCCAAGCCCAGAAACTGCGAACCACGGCAAACCAAGGTTGCTTGCCGGTAGCTAAAGGGGTCCGCACAAACCACAGCATAAACAGCACAGCCACAAAAACCCTAAGTCTAAACCTGAAGCTTTGAAGGCTTTGGCGTTGCTGGCCCTCGCCCCAACACTGAGCCTCCGAGCGAACGCGACTTGCCTTCGGTTTTCTAAGGGTTGATCGGAGAGGCCTGAACTTTGTCACTCGGACTTTTCGCTGCTAGAAGTCTGAAGCCAAGTATCTTCCAGTCAAGAGGGCTATCACTGAAGTTATAATAATTAAAGCCCCAGCCCCCTGAGACATAAAAGCGCTGACGCTGAATCGGAATCAAAGCCGCCAAGCATCCCTAGATCCTCGACTGCAGCGTTCTTGCACGCCTATCAGGCTGCAGCGGTTTAGGGTTGAGGGTTTAGCTTTAGGGTTTAGGGGTTCAGGGTTTAGGGGTTTAGGGTTTAGGGTTACGTGAGCTCTGCGACCTTGCCAATAAGATTGAAAGCCTCAGCTTCAAGCCCTTCCCTCGTGGTCCGAAGCACCCATCTTTCTGGAGGATACCAGCGCGCGAAATCTAGTCATAATTCCCGACACAGAAACCAATGTAGTTAGAGCTTATGTTGGGGATTGTTGAGGTGACGACCTACAATGCAGCCATCAGTGCGTGTGAGAAGTGCGAGCAGTGGCCACATGCTCTGGAGTAGCCCGGCGACGGAAGCCTCAGCCTATTTGGGTTTTTTGTGTGTCTTTGGCGGGTTCCAAAGAGAAATCTGAGGTCTAGGGTTTAGGGTTTAGGGGTTGCCCTTTACTTCAGGGGTATATAGTCTCTGTTCTTGCTTTGGGTCATCTGCTACCAGTTTTCCGACTGGCTTTGTAGGGCGCAGGAGGTTTGCAGGGTATTGCAGGGTCTTGAACGCTTTTTGTCTTTGCCCTAAGCCCTAAACCCAACCCTAAACCCTAAGATGTTCTCTACATATACCCTGAGACCCTTCGGAGTTTAGTATGCTCCAAGGTCAACTTCTCTACAGACAAACAGAACTTTTCTTAGAGCACACGCAGTAGCACAGCCCGGCTAGAGCCCATCCGAAAACCTTCACAGGAACGATTGCAAGGAAACTTTGCAGAGAAGCCCGTGTGGAATCCTAGCAGAAGCCCTGGTAGAAACTCTTGTAGGAGCCCCTATAGAGACCTCACAGCAACTCTTCTAGGAACCCTTATGCACCTTACAGCAAAACGACTTTGTTGGAAGCCATAGAGGAACCTGGAGAGAAAATGTAGAAAGGCCTCTTATACAATATACGTCCTGAAGGAGCCCTTGAAGGACACCTTGCTTAAAGGAACCCTTTACTACGGCTCTAAACCCAGAACCCAAAACCCTACACCTAAAACCAACCCTGTCTAGCTTGTTGGTCAGCCCGAGCCATTTTGGATGGTTGATGTTATGATGCTGTGCATGGTGTAATAGGTAGTAGATGTAGGGAAAGCAGGTGGTTAAATAGGAGCGTGCCTCCTAAAACAATCCCTGTCTGCCTAGGCTTCTTAAACCCAGAACCCAAAACCCTACACCTAAAAACACACCCCTATCTGCCTAGGCTTCTTAAACCCAGAACCCCTGTCTGCCTAGGCTTCTTAACACTTAAACCCAAAAAACCAAAACCCTACACCTAAAAACACACCCCTGTCTGCCTAGGCTTCTTGCATGTCTCCACTCTGCGCAGCTCCGCGCCGACGTGATTTCTGTCAGCTCCGCCATCAGCGCCTGCGGGCGAGGCCTGGGCTGGGACCCTGACCCCAAAGTTTAGGGTTTGGGGGTTTAGGGTTTAGGTAGATTTAGGGCATTCATAAGGGCTTAGGGTCTAGGGTTTAAGGTTTCGGGTTTGGTCCTAAGTACCTACCTGGACCTCAAAAGTATGAAAGATAATGGCCTTTTTATGGGTCTTGGGCCATTATGTTGGGGGGGGGGGGGTTTAGGTATCCCCAAGTAATTCTAGTCTTAAGCCTATTAATGGTACCTACTTTGGGCTATTTGGAGTCTTAGGGTCAATGGGGGATACTTACCCAGCCATAATAGAAATTCCTCTTTTAGATACCCTGCTCACTACAGTTTCAGTAAATAGGATCCTTCGGGTGAGGTTTCGGGGTTTAGGGCTTTGGTTTGGTATGGTTTAGGGATGTTTCGGGTTTGGGGTTTGGGGATTTCAGGCTTAGGGGTTAGGGGCGAGTTTCGGGAAACAGGGTTCGGGACTGGACATTGGGTGGGGGCGGAGGGTCTTCTTTTGAATGTTTAGGGTTCCTAAACCCTAAACCCTAAACCCATTTAGGTGTTTAGTGTTTAAGGTGTTCGCCTTGTCGGGTGGTGCGAGGTTTTTGTGATGTTCGTACCTTGGCTTCTTGGGTTCATGGATAGCTTTAGGTATACCCATAGGCTCCTTAGTAGTTCCTTTTTGGGATTACCTTATAGGATTCCAAATATGAACCATAACAAGGAACTACTTGGTAATGAGTATGCCTACACACTATTTGTCCCGGATCGCAGGGCTTTAAATATTCGCCAACTCTCTAAGTTCCCGTTGTTTAACCTCACATTCTCGCCTGCTTGTGACAACCCTTGCTGCATCAGGCATGGACATTTCGGCGTTTGGGATCTGGCCCTAAACCCTAAAACCCTAAACCGTTTGCTTCGGTTCTCCAAAGTTTGGGTTCGGGCTGGACCGCACGAATAGGGGACTACAGTGAGGACCAAACGGGACCGAAACAGCCGGTTTAGGGTTTATAGGGTTCAGGGTGAGGATCACATGAGGCTGAAAGCGTATTGAGCTCCATTTCCTACACTTTACAGCCTTAGAAATTTGTTCACGGATGTAAACTGCAAGCTCGTTTGGGCTGTCTCTGAAGCTATGCGGTTCTGTCAGTGTCTGGACCATTAGTAACAGTACCGCGCTCTGTTGAATTATAGTATTATAGAAGCCTACATTACGCAGAGTTCATGGCTGCGGCCGGAGGTGAGCAATGGCAACGCGCAATGGCCTTGATGTCAAGCTTTAAGGCCGGCTGGACGATGCCCCGAAGCCTAGGATAAGGGCCGTAAAAACCGGGTAATTAAGTACAGTGCAAACCCTAGACCTTAAACCCCAAACCCCCAACCCCTAATCCCCTAAACCCCCGAAATTATGGTACCCTTCGGTCCCCTGGTACAGTATTCTCCTCAAAAATAAAACTTGTCTGCTTCTTCAGGCTTCCATGTTGCGCCCAAACTACCCAGAGAACCCAATACCCCTTAATTAAGGAGTATACCTTAAACTATAGGTGCTTAATATTGTGATTTAAGGTATATTCCTTAATTCAGAGATATTGGGTTCTCTGGGTACCACTACCTACTTACTTCTTTTAGGCTCCTCACGACTCCCTATACGAGGCTTCCTTCCGACTCCAGAGGCACATGTTTAGGGGCTTAAGGTTTAGGGTGTAAGGGTTTAGGGTTTAGGGGTTTAGGGTTTCGGGTTTAGGGTTTAGGGTTATGGCAGTGTAATGATGAACCTGAAAGCTTTCGGTTCCACCGCTGGCATGGTGCGTCCCTTCCAGCCGACTGATGCGATAGGCCCACCCCACCCCTCGTAGGTGCTCATTCTGGGAGTAGTGTCTTCCGGTAAGGACATCTGGTGGGACTCCAACGTTTCCTGCATCCCCCTGGAAAGTTTCCAGTTATCTCTTTTTCCGGATGTGGGTTTGCAGATTGAAGAAAAGCAAAGGCCGGGCAGTACTATCAATCAAGGGTCACGGTTCTGAGATGTTCTGAGAGTGCAGACGGAATCCAAGCAGCCCCTTCGCATCTGATAAGTTCGCCGCAAGATGTCGAAGCGTGTCTTGCGGCGCAAAACTGGGTTCTGCAGGCTTCAGATACACTGACATCCCTAAACCCGCACCCCACAGAGTGAGTTTATAGGCGTTTGGAGTAACCGTTCAGGGCTCCGGGATTTGATTTCACAAATGGTTGGGCCCTTCTCCTACAATCCTACCAATCACGGTGCTACCATCTGCTACCTGAAGGCGCAGATGCCTCGAGGTCGGTTACTTAACAGCCCAGCTTTCAGCCCACAGAGCCCGCGCCCCAAACAGAACGGTTTAGGTTGTAGGGTTTAGGATTTAGGGTTTAGGGTCTAGGGTGTAGGGTTTAGGATTTAGGGTTTAGGGTTTAGGGGTCGGCCAGGAACGTGCCGGTCAACTTAACGACGTGGCCTTCAATGCCGGGATATCGGCAGCTGACCCTTGGCCTGAACTCTGTTACCTTCTACTCTGGGAGCCGTTTTCGTCTACTCTGGGAGCCTGAATCATCCGCGAGAGTCTGAGCAATGGCCCCGTGTATTCCCATCCCCAAATCCTTACGTCCCAAAACCTTCAAATCCTGAAACCTTCTGCGCCCTTAAGCCGTAACAACCTTTCAAGCCTATAAAGCTTAAACCCCTAAAGCCCAAAAATGTCTGACTTCGGCAGTTGGGAGAAAAAGGCTGTCACACCCTTTATTTATAGGCCCCCAGCCATAGACCCGGCCAAAACAGGAAACATGTTGGGGGTCTGCGTCTTTCCCATGACTTGACTCCTCCGGGTTCCTGATAAAAAAAGAACACCATATAGTTGTAATTCGTATACTCTCTTAATTAGAGCAGGGTACACCTTTACACCTCATTTAAATGGTTGCGACCCCGGCAAGTGTGGATCCTGCTTCTTCTGCGAAGCTTTAGACTCCAGGGAAGGGTTGAAACTGCCTGAGGGGAGGGCGTCCAGAGCGAAGAAGCCCGGCCTCAACTTACCAGAACCGGGCATAGATTCCTAGAGCTTGTATGTTGAAGGGTCTTTTGCTGAAGTTCTAGGTTAAACAGGCACGCTTCGGGAGGAAGCGCTAAACGCTGAGCCCGATTTCTTAAAGGAGGAGTCAACGTAGCTTACCGCGGCGTCGTATCCTTCTATCTACGCTTCGCAACACGAACCCAGACCTTCCCCAAGATCCCTCAACTAAGGAAAGCATCTTAAATCATAGTAGGGCTCCTACTACAATAAAAGTTGGGTTTGCTTTGAGAGGGTGGCTCTTTCCGCAAAATCTGCTGGGCCCAGAGGGCGGTTCTTTAGGCATCGGAAGAGGCCATGTGCAATAATAATAATACCACTTTCAGTACCGCTAACTGGGTCCTTGTATTCTTTAGTCCTCATTGAGTATTATTCTAACAAAAATGTAGAATCATAGCCAACATGCTGGCTATAATTTCACATCTTTGTTACAAGAAAGCCCAATGAGGATTAAAGATGATCATTCTTTAATAGAGCCCCAACAGGGAACCAGCAAGTTTAGGGTTTAGGGTTTACCCATAGGCTCCTAAGTAGTTCTTTTTTATGGTTCATATTTAGAATCCTATAAGGTAATCCCAAAAAGGAACTACTAAGGAACCTATGGGTAGGGGTAAGATTGGCAGACAGAAACCGTACATCACATCCTGAGCATTGAAGTCTTCAGCCGCTGGAAACCAAAACGGGAATCCCGAAACCCCCTAATGCAGTCGCCTTTGAGGCGGCCTAGTACCCCATGCAAACCCCCGAAACCCTAAACCCCCTAAACGCTTGAACCCTAAACCCCCAAACCCCTAAAGCCCCTCAAGCCCCTCAAACCCTTCAAACCTAAACCCGAAACCGCTGACAAGCTCCAAAGGAAAAGTCTGGAAGATGGAAGCTGGCTTTATCTTTACTGGCGGACTCCCTTTGCACTCTAGCTGCGCCGACAGCCGCTCAGCTGGTCAAAAGCTTCTAGCTAGGACTTTTGGGGTTTTAGGGGTGGGGTTTAGGGCTTTAGGGCTTTGGGGGCTTAGGGGTTTAGGGTTTATAGGGCTACCGTTTAGGGGTTCTAGTGATTTTCTGCGTGACCCGGGGACTTTTGACCTGGGTAACTAGGGTCAAGAGCGATACACTCATAGACTGCAAGTAAGGTATATCTAAGCGTCTGTCTGAACTATCCATGAGCCTTCAAGTGAAGTTATGTGCATCTGAGTGCCATGGATTTGTAGGAAGCATACACCGTACCCATAGGCTCCTTCGTAGTTCCTTTTTGGGATTACCTTTACAGGATGTTGAATATGAACCTTAAAAAGGAACTACTTAGGAGCCGATGGGTAGCCTTCACGGAAAAGACTTCAGAGCCTTCCCTACCTCGGCTTCCCCCGCGGGAGACGGAAGCCGGGACGGATTGATGGTGAGCCTTCCGGGGTACTGATGCCCCAAACCCTATGAGGTTTAGGGTGCACAGGGTCAGGATGTAGATGCCCACTAAATTCTTAGACTTTAGACTCCCCCCTAAACCCTAAACCCTAAATCCTAAACCCTAAGCCCTAACCCTACTATTATAGGGACCCGTATATGAGGCTGCAAGTCCCTCATATGCACCCTGAGGTGATATCTTGCGGTGCCACGATCAGCTCCTGTGAGAAGGCCAGCGGCTGCGCTCCAGGTGGCTTCGGTAAGTTGACCAGAGAGGCCAACACCCTGTAATTAGCGGTTTAGAGTTTAGGGTGCGGGGCTTGCGGAACAGACCTCGAATCACAATGAGAAGCTTAGTCTAGTCTAGTTATATTCCCTAGTAGCAGGGGCTTTGGGGTTTAGGGTTTACAGGGGTAAAGGCTCAGGGTCTTACGGCTCATTGAATGCGGTTTAGGGTTAACGGTTGAGTGTTGAGGGTATAGGCTTCAGGCGACCTGCAATTGTTTGAAAGACGCAAACAGCCCAACAGTTTTTTTCTGGACTACAGCTGTACTACAGCTTCTACAAAATTATCAGTACTTTGCTGAGCCCGAAATGCAATCCCTGAAGAGCTTTAATCCTTAATTCCACCCCAAATCGCTCACCTACGTGTTCATCGAAGATCCAAGCCCGTATACCACAGATTGGGTACGGGCGTTTTAGTAAAATTCGGGGTGCCGCGGGCGCAGCTAAAACCTACGAAGCGAAAGAAGCACTCTGAACATGTCGTAGCACTTCAGTCGAAAAGCCCGAAATCATGAACCCCACAGCCCCCTGCGGACATCCAGGGCGATCAGTGGCAGTGGGCTGCACACTTTCTCCGGGAGCTGCCGCGACATCAGGCCTTTTTCTTTAAGACTGCAGTCTCCTTGAGCGCCCTAGATGCGGTGATTTGGGAGAGGAGCCGGAGATCAAGGAACACACAGGGGATGAAGTATGTATGAAGTATCATAAGATATATATATACACACATACATACATACATACATACATACATGCATACATACATATATATATATAGATAGATATGTACGCATGCCTGAATGCATGCATGCATCCTGTATGTCTGTGTATCTGTATGTCTGTTTGTCTGTCTGTCTGTCTGTCTGTCTGTATGTACGTACGTATGTATGTATGTATGTAGGCATTCATGTACGTATGTACGTATGTGCGTGCGTACGTATGTATGCATGCATGGATGTATGTACGCATGTATGCATGCATGCATGCATGCATGCATGCATGCATGCATACATACATACATACATATACATGCACCTTATCGAGATACGGATGGATGGATGGATGGATGGATGGATGGATGGATGGATGAGTAGAGATGTGTGTGCGCGCATGTATTGTCTGCTGATGTATATACACAAACAACGGGTATGTACATGTCAACGACATGAATGCATGTATGTGTACCTGCAGTAGGTCATTCAGGCTCAGGGGCGGCAGCAGTCCAGGTGCAGGATCGTGGGGTTTTCTTCGGGAGCTTGTCTGGTCCGGGGGGGAGACGATGCCTATTCATCGATATAGGAGAAAAAATGTGTAGCGGGGAGGGCTTAATTAGGGCTCACCCAGGTTCCTTTTTGCACACTTGAAAGGCAAGACACTCCCCGAAGAGAGTAAGGCCGAATCCCTGAATTGTGGGACTGGGATTTAGGAGTTTACTGTTTTGACATGTGTTTTAATCAGGATTTAGAGATCTATATAGTTCTCTGAGTTTGCAATGTGTTTGGGTTTCCCGGTCTACGGGTCAAGCATGTGCGCACTGACGATCACCAGCAGGGAATCTTCGACGCCCCCACACAAACAAAAGCCCGACCCGGCCCTATACACAATTCAGATTCAAACCTATAAACCCTAAACCCGAAACCCTAAACCCCATAAGCCCTAAACTATAGACCCTAAAGCCTCCCTGAACCCCCCAACAAGTAGGTAAAATAATGGCCCAGGACCATCAAAAAGGCTCTTATTTTACATACGTCTTGGGGGTCCAGGTAAAGCCTTCACCCTAAACGACATTCGCTCAACTCTGAACTCACAGGAAGGTGGAGTTGCGGTTCCGCTATTGGCGGCTTGAGGTTTAGGGTTTAGGGGTTTTGGATTTAGGGTTTTGGGGGTTTAGAATTTTAGGGCTTGGGGGTTTAGGATATAGGGTTGGGGGTTTAGGGTTTAGGGGCATTATATTATGCTCTTTCTGGAGATGCCAGGTTCAGGCCAATGCGATCACCTACAATGCTGCCATCAATGCATGTGAGAAGGGCGAGCAGGCTGTTTCCAACACACGCTCTGCGACCTAGTCGTAAGAACAGGATCTTTGGGTATGTACTGTCAGTGTAGTATAGCAAATTTGTATCGGCAATTATTACGGCCCCGGTGCATAGGTCTGGAGTGTGGGGTCACTCCTTCTGGTTTGCACTTTGCCTTGCCATCTGCCTGCACATCGCTCTGTGGCACAATAGCAGCTCGCAAAGAACACGCCCTAAACCCTAACCCCTAAACCCCTAAACCCTAAACCCCTAAACCCCTAAACCCTAAACCCTAAACCCCTAAACCCTAAACCCCTAAACCCTGAACCCTACACCCCTCAACTTTAAGGTTCAGTCGCCTTAGGGCCTTAGGGCTTTGTGGGTTTCGGCTTTATGGTTAGCCCTAAATCCTCGGCAGCCCGCTGCGAATCCCTGAGTCTCCGGGCTTTAAGACCTAAGATCCGTAATAGGTTTAGGGTTTAGGGTTTGGGGTTTAGGGTTTGGGGTTTGGGGTTTAGGGTTTGGGGTTTGGGGTTTAGGGTTTAGGGTTTGGGGTTTGGGGTTTAGGGCTTAGGGTGTAAACCCTCAACCCTGATAGAGCCCAGCAAGGCACCTCGAAAGACCTTTGGCAGGAGCCCTGAGCCCCTACCGTAACGGCAACGTCTGCACTGCTTGGTGAAGTTCTGCGGTCCAGTATTTATTGAGGCATTATTATAGGGGCGTACCGAATTACCAACACTATTTCTTAGGGTTCCTCTTGTAATTATCGCACAATATACCCCAAATCTCTTTCCAATTGCTCAAGCCCCAAGGTTGCTCCACGTTCCCAGCTACTACTGCTACTGTGCTACTCCTGCTGCTGCTCCAGGAGCAAGGGTATGTGACAAGAGGAGAATGACAAATGTCCACAGGCAAGTTATCAAACGGGTACGAAGTAACAGTACTGTGGACATCGAAGTAGACTGGATTTGCACGAGCTGCATAAGCATGAGCGTTACTACTCGTTGCAATGCTTGTGAAGGCATGATTCAGTTGGGGGCATGATGGCAGAGCTTTCGTGGACATCGCAGGCCAAGCCTGCCTCAAGCAGCCGCACCGGAGAAAAGCCTGAACCCTAATCATGTAAATACTATAAATCCGAGATGCCATAAGACCATAAAGCCGAAAGTCCAAAACCCTAATACTCGTGTCCCTCGAGCCGTTTGAAATTGAACGTACGTATGTGTGATACAAACATGCATGCATGCATGCATGCATACATATCCATCTATCTATCTATTTATCTATCTGTCTATATCTACATACATATACATATATATGTTGCGCACTCTGAGCCGAAATCCTAATCCCGAAACCCGTCAGAACCCGAGTCCATCTGGTCCTCGCCGCAGTGCCTCCAGGGTGTTGCTTTGAAAATCCCATTTTTGGGCGTTCAAGATTCGATTTTATGGAGAAAACGGCTTAGGGTTTAGGGTTTTGGTAAAGACACCGTCGTCGCTCTTTTTTTGCACAGAAAGGTGTAGACTTTGATGCCTTTGAAGAGAAGGGTTTGGTGGCAACCAAGATCTGTCCAATCTTGCAGCTCAGCAGTCAATCTCCAAGTAGCTTAAAGCCCCTTACGGGTACAACCTTTAAACCAGCCTAAACCCCTAAGGGTTTCGGGTTTAGGGTAAACCCCTCAAACCCTTAAAACAGTAGGGCATGGGAGTCAGGAAGCTTTGACACAATGCCATGCCCCAAAGCCTCAACGAAGCAACTCGATTTTCGACCCGGCACGACAAAACCCAAAGCTCACTCCCTGAATCCTGGGTCGGAGGAACGACACCAGGGTTAAGGGGTTGAGGGGTTTAGGGGATTTAGGGGTGTAGGGTTTAGGTTTTAGGGGGGGTTGAGGGTTTTAAGGTTTAGGGTTTAGCATTTAGGTTTTAGGATGTTTTTGGTTTAGGGTTTAGGGTCCGGACGAAGATCGGACGACACCCAGGTGCCAAGGCCTGTTGGCCCTGTTGGAGCCGTTGCAACCATGCCTCAGGCCCCGACACTTTGTGTTCTTGTGGGGTTGTCTTGACAATCAGGGCACCTCTTCAGGCTACCTTGTACAGACAGGACTCACCATCAGAAAATAGTAATTAGAGTACCTAAACCCTAAGCCCTAAACTCTATCCTCCCTCCCTTAAAGCAAGGTAGTTTGGAGCACAACCCTGCCTTCGGGGGTGATGATCTTGGAGCCTTCAGCGCTTTGCGGAAAAGAGTCTGGGTTTCCGGGTGGGGTTTTAGGGTTTGGTGATTTACGGTCTAGGGTTTGGGGTTAGGGAGGGGTTGGGGTTTAGGGATTTAGGGATTTTTTGGGTTTACGTGTTTGAGGGTTCAGCAACTTACGGTTTGGGACTCGCCTGGGCTGCAGTGTCAACTGTTGACGGCGTTTGAAACGGTTTCAGCCCAAGAAACCCTAAACCCTAAACCCTAAACTAAACCCCTAAACCCAAAACCCTAAACCCTAAAGCCCAAACTCTAAACCCATCCCCAGTAAGATCATCCCGGAGCAAGTCGGCCGGATAAATCCTAAAGACTTAGCCCAAGTATCCAATTCAGGCCCCTGAATATTTAGGAGCAGTACGGTGTATGGCTCCCTATTTACATTGTAGTATAGCATGCCCCAGAAACTTTCTCTGATTACCGAGGCCTCCATTATAGCTCGAGACCTCCTGGGAAATTTAATCTAGCTAGGTTGGGCCGCATGTTGAGCGACCTCTCGAAACGAAGCAGGTGCTTCCCAGCGTGGGTGAGCTGCTGACCTACTACGAAGACAGTGGCGATGGTGTGTCCATCCGCCCTGTCCCCAGCGCCTTCATCTTTCGACAAACTCCCAACGAGCCTTTCGGTAACCTTAAAGAAGCCTAGCCTGTGCGACCCACAGTTGAGCATCCTATCTACCTACCCCACACTCGGAACACGGAGCTGTCTTAAAGAGGGTTTAGGGATAGGGTTAGGGCTTAGGGTTTCTAGGGCTCACGGCTTAGGCCCTCGATCATTCTCTGAAGGGTCCTATATGAGGGTACTATAAGGGGCATTATAAGTCTGTGGTCCTGGGGCCTTCATGATTACTTAGAACAGGTTTGGGGTTTGGGGTTTAGGGACATGGGGTGCGATATCTAGGTTCTCCAGCAGCCCTTTAATACTGAGTGTACTCTTGTTCCTGCTGGTTGAGGCCCCAATACAAAAACGGCAACAGGATACTGCTGGAGACCTAGTTACAGTATACGCAGAATAATTCAATAAGGAGCCCGGTGGATCGAGATTTTTTGAGCATTCATGAGGGGGGGCTTTGCAGCAACAGTCGCCCTAAACCCTAAATGATTGAGTATTAGACCAACCCACGCCTGAAGTTTGGCGCCGAGGCCGCCACTCCTCTCGAAACTCACAAGCCCCGACTCGACGAGACTGTTTGTATCGGCATCCTTCCACGGTAAGGACTAGCAATGCAATTCGCCGACAAACCATAGCACCTATTAGTAATACGACTATTTATAGAAGAATTATTGTCCTTTTCGCATTTTTATGACCAGTAGTAGCATATTAATAATAAACACGGTGTTATTGTCATCATTATTAGCATCGTTATCGTATCCGTGTCAGTATTAGTAGTAGTTGTCGTCGTCTTCCTCGTGTTAGTATTTTCCTTATATTACAGCTAGTGTAATAGGCCAGGAAGCCGTATATTCATTGAGGCCATGCTCTAGTCGAAGGGTGTCGAGTTCAGGACCACGCCTTACAAGTTTTGAGTACGTGGATCTTGGGTTATTCACACGGGGAGCAGTCCGCCAGAGAGAGCACAGATCCCTGAATTCATGAATTCAATATTATGATCCCCAAAACCCTTCAGGGTTTAGGGGTTATAAGGTCTAGGGTTTGTAGTAACCCTCAACCTTTGTCCTAAGTTTGAGGGGCATTGGGCCTTCTGGGTCGTCTTGACGTCCTCAGTCCAGGCATTGCTCCCTTGACTTCCTCCACACTATAGAACACGAAACTCCACGCCTTTAGAGGTTTTAGGGTTTAGGGTTTAGGGCCTAGTTTAGGGGTTTAGCCGGACACTTCTAAACTAATTGGATTCCAAACCCCAAACTCAAAGCACGGAGCACTTAAGTCACGAGGTTGAAATGTCGAAACCCGTTCAAAAAACTCTAAGGACTTGCCATAGCCCCAAACCCTTTTCAACTTTAAACCCTAAACCCTTTAAAGGGACCCTAAACGGAGCCCTACTAGAACCCTATTGAACTCTAAGTACAATCTGGCTCACGGCATTGCGCCAACGCCTCAGGGCTTCCAGCCCTAGATGCTCAAGTCTGTTTCCTAGCTTTAACAATATATAGTATAAGTTTATGCAACAGAAATAAAGTAAAGTATAGCATAGTATGGTATAATATA